TCTCATAGTTCTTATTTTAAATACTATAGGCAATACTCTTTAAAAAAATTTTTTTAGATAATTTTTTAAAAGATTTTATTTGAGAAAAAGAGAGAGAGCATGAGTTGTGGGGGAGGGGCAGAGGGAGAAGGAGAAGCAGACTCCCCACTCAGCAGGGAGCTGGATACGGGACTCGATCCCAGGACCCTGGGATCATGACCTGAGCTGAAGGCAGACGCTTAACCGACTGAGTCACCCAGGCGCCCCTATAGGCAGTATTCTTGCAAATAAAAATAACAGTAGCTTCCTCTACCCTTTGCTGTAGAATCAGCTGTCCTTCCACTGATGGGAGGTGGAACACTATAGTGATATTTTCTTTCCTCAGGCCTGGGTTTATGTGCTGGCTCTGCCTTTTACGGGCCACATGCCTTTGGGCTCTCTCACCTTCTTCCTCTGAAAATGGGAGAATAACAGTGCATATCTCAAAATATTGTGATGACTAGCTGACATGCTACATACAAAGTGTCTGGCACATGCCTGGTACAGTGGAAGGTGCAGAATGGTTTGGTGTTTATTACTGCATTTTATTTTATCGTATTTTTTTTTTTTTTAGTAGGCTCCATGCCCAGTGTGGAGCCCAATGTGGGGCTTGAACTCATGACCCTGAGATCAAGACTTGAACTGAGATCAAGAGTCAGACGCTTAACAGACTGAGCTGCCCAGGCGCCCCTATTACTGCATTTTAAAAATATAGTTCAGTTCTTAATGTACTGTTGGATTTAGAGGGACTTTCCCTCCCTACCGGTATTCTTTGGAGTGAATTTGTATTACTTACAAAATGATGCCCTCCATAGAGTTTCAAGTTCCTGTTTTCTTTTGCTTTCCTCCTATTGTGCACCTCTCCTGCTGGGCAGGAAGTTCATGTGCTCCCAGAGAAACAATTCCGATGAAAAGGTCAGGTTATGCACTGTGTTTGTTCCTTCATGAGCTTTGCCTAATGTTCTTTGAACAGTTAAGACCTAGGCTTGTGTCTCCCTAAATACCATCCTGCCTTTCTTTTCTTAACTGACTTTGTGGTTGATTTGTGTAGCAGATTACTGAAAAATCAGAAACATCTTGCTAATTTTTTTTTTCAGGAACCCCTCAAAATGACTTATGCAATAAGCATATGACAGGGTCAGCTGCTTATACAAATAAGCAGAAGGAAGAGCCTAGGAGTTGGGAAGCCTGAAGCAGGGGGAGAGGGATCTTCTTGTGGGGGGAGTGGGGGCAGGGACTGAAACAGAAAAAAAAGCCAAGAGGAAAGCTGTCTATTGTCTTGGCCTAATTAGCAAGCAGTCCTGTGACCTGTACTGTAGCCAGAACTGTCCTAAGCAAGTCCCAAGACAACTTGTAAAAAGAATAAAAGAAATTGAAGAAAATCGCCTGTGAATCAGTTTTTCAGCTAGAAGAGCCAGTGGGTTATACATAAGCATGAAAGTTATATAACTTTCTACTTCCTGTTTATGTTCAGCAGATGTGGGTGTCTAAGTTGGTGAACAGAAAGAGGGGGCCTCAAGATTTTCTGTACTTTATTTTTTTTTATTGTATTATGTTAATCCCCAAACATTACATCATTAGTTTTAGATGTAGTGTTCCATGATTCATTGTGTATAACACCCAGTGCTCCATGCAGAACGTGCCCTC